AAAAATAAAAAAATATATATTCTATAAAACTAAAACATTAATTCCATAATATGGATAGATGTGGGTTTTGAAAGGTAGGAATTTAAAGGTAAAACAATATATAAAATAAATAAAAAGTTATTTTTTCAATGCTCAGCTCTTACGGTAACGGTTAAATATCAATAACACGACAATACACTTAATTAAAAAACATTAATTTTCTTCTAATTCCAGTTCTTCTATTACTCCTTCTTGCATATCCTCTAATTCACTATCACTATCTTCATTCAAATCAATAATAAATTTATTTCCACCATTAATATGAAAATGTGCAATCTTCATATAATCCTCTTCAAATTTGATCACCTTTTTAATCCTTTTCTGCCAATCTTCTTTGGTAATATTCGATACTTCTTCTTTAATTAAATCAATTACCTTCGTGTCGAATTTTGGAAATGTATTTTTACGTCTAACGTTTTGCTTCAGCTGCGCCCAAATTAGCTCGATGGGATTAAAAATACAAAAATAAGGGGGAAGTCTCAATACAGTATGTCCATGATATTCAGCAATACTATCTATGGCGTATACTTTTTTAAATTGTTTCGTCCGTAAAACTTTAAGAAGTTCTTCTTTCTTATAGCTGTCTTGAAAATACAAATCATTGTCTATTAGAAAATTTTGTATATCCGTTTTCGTAGAGTTCTTATTTGGAATCTTAGTGAGCTGTCGTGAATGGTAGGAAGCGTTGTCAAGAACTATTACACTTCTTGGCTTCAAGTTTGGAATTAATGTTTTTTCAAACCACTCTTCAAAGATGTCGGCGTTCATGTTTTTATGATAATCAACATTGCAGTCTTCCATTTTTTTACCACATAACTTCAATGAATTGTGAACCCAACCTTCGCTTCCTCCGCAATGTAAAATAACCAGCCGTGATCCTTTATTTGCTGGCATTTCGGGCATACACTTCCTTGATCCATCTGTCCATCCCTTCTTAACTGTGTCGTGCGTGTCATACCATGTTTCATCCAAATAGTAAATTTGTCTATTTTCTTGTCTATATTTCGTTATTTGTTCTAAGTATCCATTACGAATATCGATTATTCTCTTGCTTTCCATAACTGCTTGCCGTTTATTTATTGTTTTAAATTTAAATCCCATTTTCTTCAACCAGTTCTGAAGAGTTCTGTCACAGCAGCCCAAGTTATATCCCGTGTTTTCCAATTTTTTTCTTATTATTTCAATTGTAGGTATCTCATTGTTCTTGTAACTGTCGTATATAGTTGTTTTCAATATTTTTACCAAAGATGTATTTAAATGCTTAGTTAATCCGATATCACATCGCTTCTTGCGTTCATAAGGTCCATTTTTTACTAATTTTGATATGGTTGAACAAGGTATTCCAGTTAAATCAGATGTTGCTTGTAATAGTATTTTTGTGTCGAAACCAAACTTCTCGTGCAGATTTATGTACACGTTGAAACATATTTTCTGTGCTTGATAATTCAAATGACTTCGTTTTTTCTTGACTGGGAGCTCTTCATCTAAATCACTACCACAATCACATTCAAAACTACCACCGTCACTTCTACACTCAAAATTTTCACCTTTGTCATTGCACATCACAAACTCGGCGTCGGTTTCACATTCTAAAATATTACGGTCGTTATCAAATTCTAAAATATTATTATTATTGTTATTATTATTATTAATATTATTATTATTAATAATATTATTGTTATTATTATTATTACCATTGTTATCCCAAGGCCTCCATAACTCCATCGTGTTGAATGTACTCCTAAGAAGATGTTCGCTTGACTAAATTGTCTATACGAAGTGAGTATAAATAGCCATAAAAACGTAAAACTGGACTGGCTCGAGGCAGAGGCGTGCAATGGAACAATATAAATGAAAAATGATTATTTTATTTAGGTACATTTCTTATAGAACCTACATAAAATACATCATATTATTATATAAAGTCTAGAGCTTTTGTTTATTACATCTACTAGTGTTGGGAGAATCGGATGTTTTTCAGAATCGAACATTTTGAATTCGATTACTTTTGAGAATCGAGCAATTATTCGAATACAAAAGAATCGAATTATTTACGTTTCGTTTCGAGGTCAGCGTCAGCGACATGAAAATAAACGCAAGCACAAGCGATTCAGCCTCTCGACTCGAGTTCCCTAGTGCTCTCGGCAGTCTCAGTTCTTGTCTCAGGTGCCGCCTACCGATTTGTTCTATCTAATAATATATGGATTATTATTGAATAAATAATAACCATTTTTTTATAGGTCGGTGTCGGCAAATATGTATCGCCGTGACTGCCACTTTTTTTTTCATTGATTAAGTTATGACTTGTTCATAAAATAATAAATCCCAAAATTCCTATACTTCTAAAAATATTTACGTAATATGCCGCAATCAGAACTACTAAAGTACTAGGTATGTTAAATTAAAATTAGTAAATTACGCTTCCTTTGTAATTTTAGTCGGGTCGAATGCACGCTAGAATCGAATACTTTTATAATTTGTATTCGAATAGTCCCATCACTAACATCTACATTTAGATCTAATCCTTTACAACGTGACAAAAAATTCACAACATCTCAGATGCATCCGATGTGGATATTATTCAAACGCGGCATTTATTTCGAAATTCTAAAACTTTCGATGTTACGACACTGGGTCGTGCCACATGTCACAATTCAATTTCTTGCACATTTCTGAATACAGTATTCAAGAATTTGACCAATAATAATTTGGAAGCGACCAATTACATGCGCCGTATTAAACGTGGGAGGTAACATTTGCTGACAGGTAGATGTCCAGTCCATGTGGACCATTCAAATAAGCATACAGGGAGCGATCAACACAAATTTTATTATTTTATTTCAGTGTGTTATGCAGTAAATTAATCGTGCCTCGTATTTATCTACTATTTTTAAAGGTGATGTATCAGTCTCCTTAGTTTTTTTTGTATGTTTGCCGGCTGGCTTTAAAGGTTTAAATCACACTATATCTTTTTCTCCAACTATACATCTGCAGCATATTTACTATTATATACGCGGGCAGAATATAGTTTTCTCACTTAGGGAAAATTTTTAGTAATTTAAATACAAGTGCCAACTCTTTCCCACTCGTAAATCTATCTCATTCGCCCAATCAAGGGCATATTTAAAATAAATCGTTAAAACCGGAGACCTATTTCAACCCTCAACAGGGCAACATTTTTTGTTTTACGTGCCCTTCGTTTCTCTTGAAGCAATAAAAAGTAATGTTTCAAACCTGTATGTTCGTTAGAAAATTTTAACACTCATAAAATTTATGTAAAATGGTTATGTGATACAATGCACAGTTTATAGTCGTAAATAAACCAGTAGGCAGAAGCAATTATTTTAATTTCAACATTCCAAAGCAAGTTATCAAGCAGTTCATCACTAAAATCATATATTCTACAAGTTTCTACAAATATGCAGTCTCTAGTGACTCCCTGTAATAGGAAGGAATCCTTACGTGGGTGGCGTGGATTAAAATGAAAAAGAAATAATCGTCAACTCACGACAGACGGGTTATGTTTAAGGTATGTCATTGTCCCTATGTCCCCCCTCTGGCTATGGCCCTGGTACTGCACGCTTGAGCCACTCGCGCTCATTGTCTCCTTTAATTGTTCTAGTAGTCTTGATAGGCTTGTCAAAAAGATTAATTAACAAGTTTTGCGAACAGCGAGTCTTTCTTGTCAACAGTATTTGGATCAAAAATTAAAATGTATTAAAACATTTTAAAGTAGAATAATTGTTCAATACACATTTTGTTTATTTTTGATCAAAACACTGATGACAAGAAAGTTTCGCTGTTCGCAAACTTGTTAATTAATCTTTTTGACAGGCATATCAAGAATACTAGAACTAAAGGAGACGCATGAGCGCGGACGTCCCAAGCGGTGCAGTGCACACAAACTATTTACTATTTAACAATTAAAATTAATGAGATTATCCATTAAATCTATTTTACGTATATTTTAAAATATCTAAAACAATTTCTGTGAAATGTAGATGAGATTATTGTTATTATATACTTACGGATTTAAAGGTAATAAGACAGAAGTTTTCGCTGCACTCTTCTAATCAAAACCCTATTGTTTTGGTAAATAATATCTACTTGGATAAAATTAAATTAATTTTTTGAATTGATAATGGCTCTACGTTGATATCTAATCTTTTATATCATTCCATTTGCAAAGATGTTTTGAAAGTTTATAGATAGATCACTTGAGACTTGCCCCCATTTTTTTGTTAAAATTTTTTAGTCATTATCATTAATCATCGTCGATATCTAAATAGAATGGCTAGGTACTCCAAAATTTTAATTCTAGGAATACTTATACCTATGACAAATTTTCTGAAATATATTTCTACAGTATATGATAAGTTTCCCACAATGAAACCAGAAGAATGGTCTAGAATAAGCAATGGTATTGATTGAGGTAGAAAAGTCGCGCCAGCCCACTAACGGTAGATGTGTATCCATATGTCCAATCACGGCAGGTAGTCAGCCGATTGACGAGTCTCTCTTTATTTTTCACTTGCAAATATGAAAATAAAAAAAATAGTAATCGTTTGACTTTCGACCGGTAAGGAATTGTTTGGACCGCTAAGATAATATTGTTTACTACGCAAATAATGCTGCAGCTAGAAAGTATGATAATAATACAACAAAATAAACAATCATACCAACTGAATGCAGACAATTCTTCAAGAGACACAGATTCAGAAGAGGAAATTATCAATAAAGAGACCGCATGGACAGTCAAAACTAATAGAAGAAGAAGAAGAAGAAGAAACAAAAACGAAAAATTAAAGAATCTCCAGAGAGCCAACCAGAAACCACAACAAGTGAACAGAAGAGAGAAAATGAACATCCTCAAATAACAAACGTTATAAAAAACAATGTACAAGAAAAACAGCAACTACCCCCACCTAATCATAGCGACTCAAATCACAAACTATGAGCAAATGAGAAAGGACTTACTGCAAAGAAATCTCGTTTTTAATGCCACGTTACTTAACAATGATGAAGTTAAAATAAACACAGCTACTCTAGATATAAAATGGCACACATACGAAAACAGACCTATAAAAGTAATGGTAAGAAACTTACACCCAACGTGCAAAGCAGATAAAATTGCTGAAGTATTATAATGCAATTGGTTCCAAATTTTCAATGTACAGAATATACAAAGAAAAGAAACCAAAAAAGAAGAAAGGGAAGATCAAACTGTAAGACAAGTTATTAAAAAAAGCATTACCGCTATTCATGTTAACATTTAGGAGCGATGAAGATCTCAAGAGAATATATGGAATTAAAACACTGCAAAATCTTATAGTGAAAATAGAGCTTTTAAAAAGTCCAAAACTGGTACCACAGTGTAAAAAATATCAAAGACACGGACACACTCAGCGCTTTTGCATGAGAGATCCAGTATGCCAAAACTCATCTTACGAATGATTGTGATAAATCATCAAACTTACCAGCAAAATATGTAAATTGCAACCAAGCTCACCCTACAAGTCAAATAGGTTGTGACTATCATTCAACCGGTAAGCCAACCTACTGGCCAACAGACAGACATAAAATACCTGATCTGCTCGACTTCTACATTACCAGAAAAGTAGCTGGTAATTTTATGAAATTGAAGAAAATTACGTCTTGATTCAGATAACTCTCCGTTGATGCTGATATTAAACGAAAATATAATCACAAAACGAAACAATCCTACTCTGTGCAATACAAAAACAGACTGGGGAAACTTTAAAATAGAACTAAGCACTAGAATTGAGCTAAATGAGTTACTCACATCAAAAGAATAAGTAGATCTTGAGATAGAAAAACTTGTGGTTGATATAAGCAGCTTGGAATAACACACCAGAAATTAAAAGAACAATAATTGGTAACGTATATCCTCAAGAAATAAAACAATTGATAGAGGAATACCAGAAAGAACTGGCAAACGTCCCGTTATCCTGAAGACAAAACAGCTCTTCATCGACTAACACAACAGTTAAAAACAAACAAAATAAAAAATGAATCAGTTGAAACATATCTAACTAAACTAACAGGTGAATAAATATAGTTTAAAAAAACTAAAAAACACGCTTTTAGAGCATATCAAACTAAAAAGTTAAAAATAATTTTTCAAATAAGCTTAAAACAATAATAAATGGAAAATACTAGTATTATTGTCAGCTCGATGTACGAGAAATATGGAAATATGGCATACAGTTATGGGAATGTGCCAGTAAAACCAATGAAAACATAATCCAACGTTTTCAGAATAAAGTACTACGTGCAATTGTAGATGCACCATGGTACGTAAGAAATGTCGACCTCCACAGAGATCTGGGAATGCCAATAGTTGACGAAGAAATCAAAAAAATTTGAATGACCCCGTTAACACTGAAGCCCTGCAGCTCTTGGATAACCAACATCTGATGAGAAGACTTAAAAGGAAAAAACCATTTGAGTTAGTGAGTGAATAGTACACAAGAATAGTGTGTGAAAGTCAAGGGCAGTGCAGTTCCCGTTTGGAATACCAGAAAAGAAGAGAGGGATACAACTCTTAGTTTTAAGTTCTTAAGTTTGTCTTAAGTATTTTATAATGAAAAATTGCATGTTGGCTATTTTAGCTAGGTGCAAAGCAAATTTAAAAAAAAATTGCAAATATAAGTATCCAATCTTTATTTCGAAGGATTTGTATGGATTAACATTTTGTATAAGCACAAGTACATAAATATATTATTTTAACAAAATTCTAAAACATTTTTATTATAAAAAACTGTTTATACATTTCAAGTGGTCTAGTGATTTACGAAAGGGACTCTTTGTTGACAAAATTATAATATTAATTTGAACCACGATGAATGACTTGCCCTGTAGAGCGGGCGGATAGAATGATTTCAACCGGGCATTGACCATGAGGGTGGTAGCCGCAAAATGATCACTTCTCAAAAATGAGACTTCTAGAGATATTTCTCGGCGATTTTATTAACCTGCAGGACTTTGACCTGGGAAGCTGGATATCCCTAGACACTCCCCAACGGCAGGTTTTTGATGAGTTTATACATTTAACTTTGACAAGCTGAGAAGATGGCTGTCTGTAGATACCCTTCAGCGTCAACCAGCAGGTTTTTGACGAGATGATGACCTGCAGGACTTTGATAGGCTGGGAAGATGGCTGTTTCTAGACACCTTTCAGCGGCAACCAGCAGGTTTTGACAAATTAAGAGGCAGGTTCTATATGCTCCTGAAGGATGCACAATGGCATATAGACACGGTTGTTATTGGGTCTATTCTGTATACAGTTGCTACCGAGCAAGTTGCTTAGAATAGGGTGACCATACGTACAGAATTTCGCTGTATTGTACAGCATTTTCAAAGTTTGTCCAGCATTGGATATTGTACAGCAAACGTATAGAAACGCCGTTATTTGTCCAGCATAACGCTGTATTTTATTGGCTGTCGTTCAGCAATGCAATACATAATTTACTGAAACGTAATGCGAAGCTGAAAAAATAGCGTAACAACTAGTTACGTTGCTGAGAAAGAAATATGTGCCCTTGGATCACAAATATTTTAATAGACCAAAAAATTAATAGGATGTATGTATTGTTAAGATAACAGGAACCTCTCAGAAGTAAATATTATGTATATATTATTTTTCTGTTTTGTTTTAGGACCGTAGTAAAACTTTAGCAAAGAATACCGTAAAGAATTAGTAATCTAATTTGTAATTGACAATTTTATTCAGTATATAAAGGTAAAAATTAGCGGCTTTTATTAAGGTAGGTGGGTAGGTAGTTTTAATGTATTTTTACTAATTTTGACATATAAAGTGACATTTTTTTGTAATCGCATCAAGTGTCAAAATGATCTACTTTGCGCAACCAGTTGCATAATGTTGAACATTATGAAAATGGTTTCGACTAATTCATTACGTCACCAGTTGCGAAAAGAAAAGAAATAAAAATAAACCTGTTTTGGTTTTAAAATCAAAAATATACATTATTATTGAAAGTTTACATCAAAGAAGGGCAGGTTAGCTTATAAAAATAGAATTTGGTTATACTTACAACCTAGTAATATTGTTGTTCTGGTCTTATTTTCCAGTCCAAATCAGCACAAAATAATTAAAATAATACACTATAAAATAACCCACTTTTTAAATAATTTTAATAATAATAAAAATCTCCCTAATTCACATCCTTACGAGTAAATTTCAACCCCTGAAATCGACTGAGTGACTTGTGTAGGGGAAGGGACGGCTATTATTATTATTATTATTTGCCGTGGCGCTCCGGGATGACTTAAAGATGATTGATGGTAACCATTTGACTTAAAGGTGAGGAAACCCCCACCCACCATCATCAAAACGGTAACGCATGGCGATTTTTATAATCGATGTCATATTATAACAGAAATTAAATTTCTGATAAGACGGAATCCATCAAATTCTATAGAGAACCATGCACATAAATTCACATGGTCTTCTGTAGGATTCGAAGCCAGTGTGTCTCTTATTACAAAATTGCTCCTAAATGAATGTGAGCGCCATAGACACCTACGCTACCGTTCCGATAAATAATATAAACACTGCAAGTCGTTGAGAATAAATAATTAATAATGATGTTCTAATCGTGGTTCTATTTGTCAACAAAATGATGCATATGCAACTAACAATACAAGAAAGTAATATTGGTTGTCTTACTGTCAGTAATGTTTAACCAAAGTACAATTTTAGTCAAAATTAGAAAAAAAAATTGTATGTTGTAACATGTTACGAAATGCCGTTTTATGTAACTCGTTTATGTTGACATTCACTTGTTATATAAAATAATGCATTTCGCAACTGGTTCCATAAATAGGTATTTTGTCTAATATTGTTTTTATTACTATTACATCTTAAAAATGACGTAACTTGCATTTTTGAGGAGCCTTTATATAGCACATACTTCTAATAATAATTATTATTATTAGAACTATATACTGTATCGGCCAACGAATACGTTCTAATATCCCTTGGTACAAGTGCGAGTAAAAGCTACAGAGAGTTCATTGGAGCGAGCGCAGAAGGAATGGTGTCAACGTTGCAATTTATACGAATCGACTGCGTTGAAACGTTGGCCAGGCCTTACGGACTGGCATCGCTGGTATTGTTCCTTTTCTGCTTGCGCTAGTGCTGGGGCTCTCTGTAGTTTTCATTCGCACTTGTGCCAAGGGCTATTAGAAGGTATTCGCTGGCCGATGTGCCTATAGTGAGAGCAATTCTCTAATTATACGAATAGAAAAAATAGAAAAAGTTAAATTTTACAATAATTACGAAGAAAAGTAATTTTAACTCGTCACAACAAAAAAAAATATTAATGATTCGTATCTAAATTATATTTAAATTGTTTACCAACCTATTACTCACACACAATTCCCAGAACCAATATTAAATTTTCGATAAGATAAAATTTAAATGAAATTAATTAAGAGTAATCACTATTTATATAAGTCCAGATCCTTCAAAATTATCACATGTCTGTATTATTCTAAACAAATTACATTCACGAAGTAATAATCGTAAATATGGGCCACTACCACAATCATCACCATCACCACCATGGCCATCATCATAATCGAGGTCTAGTAGATGAGATATTACACAACGTTTTTCACCCGAACCACCATCATCATCATCACCATGGACCACCACCTCCTCCAGCTATGTATTACCCACAGTTCCCACAGCCGCCTCAATACTATGGACCGCCACCACCAGGCGTGTGGGTGATGCGTCCGCCATGTGGACATCATGGGTGGACCCATGGGTGCCATCATTGCCATGGTCATCGATGGTGAACGAAGATGTGTATGATATTTCCGGAACCAGAGTGAAGCAAAGTGAAATTGTTTTCAGAACAAAATGGCGGTTTTATTTTTGTAAGCTTTATTTTTTTTTATAATAATATTCAATATTAGGTACGCAATAGGTGTAAGAAATTTGTTCTTTTTTTATATTCATAAAAAATAAATTATTGATTTTTTCAAGGTAGTTTTTGTTTATGTAACGTTTGTTTAATTTATTTATAGTTTAGTTAAAACACTTTATTTATAATTTACCTATAACGTACTAATTAATTTATATAATACTTGGGCACTAACTCACAATTCTAATTTGTTTATTACAATTTGTCTACTGTCCAACACTTAAATTGAATCTTATCGTCCATTGACAAACACGCGCTATTTATTTGGAGCCAGCTCTGTACCAGAACACCCTAGGCGACCCAGAACTTTCATTCACCATATCTGACTTATACGTCGCAGAGCGATTACTCCGACAGCTTCTCTAAGCAGTGCGTTTGTCTCTATATGGCCAGCGCTAGACTTCATAACGCGGGTAAAGTAAACAAAGAACAGACACGGCTTCGCCTCACATTGCCCCCTCCTTAAGAAATAGGTCCTCCTTAAACTAAAACTGATCGATTGTATCTGCAACTGGACCCACTTTTACAATTTTCATTCGTATGGAAATAACAAGGGACGATCTTCGCTATAACCTGAACGCTGAGAGAATAGCTGCAGACCAGTATTTCAACCTAAATATCTTCCACCATGTTTCTAATGATCCTCCAATTTAGCTGGTTCTCTATCTTGGGTATGGCTAGTTTCTGTACATTGGAATCTAGTACATGCTCTCTCAGACTAAGTAATGCTTCTCATACATCATGATAAGTGGATCGATCTCGGAAGGTGTTCTTTGTTACCAAATAGAAAATATAACGCGATCCATCTTGAAGTTTCAATGCTTTTCCAGGAGCTGGTAACTGATCTTGAAATTCTCACAATCGACCAAACACAAAGGCCAGACCTCAAGCGTCGTTGATGTTGGTGGAAGTACTATGGACCAGCGAGTAGTCTTTAGAAATCGTGAGCGGGTCTTGTTGTTGCTTGGTTGTAACACCATATCTTGCTTTTCCGGTACCTCCATATACACCAATAAATTCTTTAAAGACAAGGTCAGTTGATTCTTGGAGCTGCTTACTCCTTCTTTCTCGTCATGGTTACCCTCAAACGGCACCAGCCGGTTTTGGTGAACTACCTTCGGTTTACCGTTCGGGATCTTACTTATATGGTAAATAACTTTTTTCTTAATGAGGTAATAATAATAATTATACTTATTCAGGAAGCAGAATCCATATACATAAAATAGTGAAACACAAGAAGTTTTAACAAAAATACAAGGATTATCTACTATACTGAAAAGGAATCGAATTCATCGTAGCCTATCAAAAAACAGACTAAAATGGTTTTCAATACGCCCGGTCAAAATTTATAGTTTAAATATAAACACCCCTTAAATGTTGTAACGTGATCTCTAGTTATTCTATCTACTTGTATAATGTGTTTGAGCTCAATTGATTGGGCGTGGGTTAGGTTATTAAATAACTCGAATAACTTTGAAAAAGAAGTTGAGAACCACTATATTTAAAGCTTACTATACTTGACTTCAGATTAGTGATAAAAATTTAGAAAATCACTAACCACTAACAAATTATATTTAAACCATGCTTTAGATAAGGTAGTAGCAAATTCTAATTCACATAGTTTTACTAAATTCAAATTTAAGATGATTTATTCAATTGCACTTATCTGTTGTTAAAACGAGGTAATAAAAGAAAAGAAAGGTATTATTGCATGGTATATCTTCAGGAAACTTCTTCAAAGGGATTCGGGATCCTTATTCGCAATTCTGCAACTTGAATGATCTCGTGATATTTGGTATCCCAACTCAAACTCGAAACTGTCTAGATCTTCCAGATATGAATCAAACCACGGTCTTCAGATTGTACCAAAACCAAAACAAACTTCTAGGTATAAAAACCATAAAACTTCTTGATAGGAATTCAAAAACGTCTAGATATAAATCCAAATAAACCGTCTAGATATAGCCATGCTAAAAAGAAAGGGTTAAAATGTTAAGACAGGAAATAGGAAATTTGAACAGGATTTAGATAAAATGTTTTAACTATTAAATGAACAATTTAAAACTATTAAATGAATAATTTCACAGAGACTTAAATTAATATGAAAAGGAAAAATCTTATTTAATACATTTAAACATAGTAAAGCATAATATCTTATTCCAAAAAAATTATATATAAATTATCCATGTGTTATCCAGTGTTGATATTGAGGTTATGTTTGGAACTTGACAATTATTTTAGAAATCCTTGTATAAAATATATATTTGCAACAATATATTAGTTTAAAACTTACCTTATAAAATCAGACGGATTTTACGATAGATTAAAATCATTTAGTACATCGGATGACCAAGATAATTTAAAATGAATTCTAGTGAATTCGTTGACATTCTAGTCAAAAATGATTCTCAGAAGGCGAATCAAGGAAGAAGAAAACGACAAATGACATTTGAGTAGAGGTGATTGTGTCAAAATAACGAATAACGGTTCCAATCGTTACAATTTAGTACACATATAAATACATAATAGATACATATAAAAAAAAGGTACGGCCCATCCCAAGACCTTTAAAGCTTCGGAGAATAACGCTTTTGTCTTCTTGGCTTATGGAGCCAGACTTTGTCGGCTTCCTTGAAACATCCTTCTGTGGCATGGGTATCGTTTTGCTTCTTCATGCTGTCGCTGACGATTTTGAAGATGCGAGCGAACTAATTCATGCATGTCCTCCATTTTTCTTCGTAGCTGGATCACATAATCTCACGCCTGAACAGGTGTTTGGCCTGTTAATTCATTAACAGTGGATCTATATGCTATTGCGTAGAGCGAAAGATAATCATCCCAATCTCGCTGATGGTTGGAAACTACTTTTGACAGGTATTTGTCAATGGTTTTATTCATTTGCAATATCCAGCAATATCTAAGGCAATCTTTTCAAATGGACTCCGACGTTGTACTGCTTCATGGGGCCTTCCTTTTTCCGTTACTCATAGCACAGGTGGTACATTCTTTACACCAGTCTTTTACATCATCGGAACTGCTCAGCGGTTGTGTGCCAACTGAGCGCGTCTCCGGGTGGTGGAAAGGAGGACGGCCAAGTTTCCCTTGGTTAGTGGTAGACATAAGTAGAGTGCGAGAGCCTAAAAACCCTCAAAATCTTTTGCGAAGGCTACCGCCGCGAACCAACTCCCCCTAAGGTGTAAGGTAACGTGCCGACGGATGAATTGTCGCAGGGGCAGATGCGGCAACAAACGCTCCCCTGAGGGAACCTGGCGGCACCCTCTTGTATCTAGCCTTGCCGGCGCATGCGGGGCTCTGCGACGGTCGACATTTCCTTTCCTAGCTACTCGTGGGAACCATATGGATTCACAAAAAGAAAAACCCAAAGAGGCTGGACGTCAACACTCACCTCCATCAAAGGAGACTGGACGCCAAAGTCCAACTCCGGCGCAGGAGGCTGGACGGCGACGATCACCTCAAAAAAAGGAGGATGGACGTCAACGCTCACTTCCTGCAAAGAAGCCTGAACAACAAAGTTCAGCTCCCGCGCAGGAGACTGGACAGCGACACCCACCTTCAAAAAAGGAGGATGGACACAGTTCACCTCTAACTAACAGGCCCCGGAGAGGCAAAAGAATCTCTGGGTCTGAAGCAAAGAGGAGGAAGAGGGATAAGCTGCAGGCAGGCAGTAATACGGCAACCGCCACCCTCAGCAAACTCGCTCACTCCAAACCAAAAAGCGGCCTAATCAAATCCCTAGACAGCGACGCTAGTTCTGCCTCCACAAGAGGCCAGGAACACGACGCAACTAGGAACAAGGAAAGGCCGCGATCTCACACCTCTTCCGAGGTAACGCCCCGGAAGGGGAAAAACCCAGACAGGACCACAAAGTTCTGTCTGGGATAAGCTACAAGGATGCAGCTAAGAGCCACCTGAAAGTAGCTATAATAGACAAGGATAACCCTTACGGTAAGATAACCACCGAAAGAGAAATCCTTGTCAAAAAGACACCGATGGTAGAGCTGGACAAAATAATCTTGTCCGCCTCCTGCAGCAAAACCAATCCACCCACATTCAGGTCTTGGTCGCACTCTGGTGAAATCATCAGAGTAACCTGCGACGATGACCTGACGTTGGAATGGCTAAAAACCAAGGTACCGACTATAAAAACATGGGAAGGAGCAACAAGGGGAAGCGCAAGCTGACCTTGACGAGAAAGAGGTTGTGCTCAGGCGACTTGAGGGGCAAAAACCAAACTTGCATGTGGCGAAATGGTGCTCCTTCCACCATGAAATCAAAAAAGACCCTAAGGGCCATCTCGTCGTCTTCGGCATCGGAGACGAAGACATGGGAACTCTAAGGCCAAATCAATGAGGATGAGCTATGCGTTCACCTCATTGATTATAAGTCCCAAGGTCGAAAAAGAGGCCGAAGTGGGGCCCAGTGAAGACTCCTTGGTAAAGGACTCTCTTCCCCCCCAATTTACGCCAACGGTGGAGGACGGCGAGCCAGAAAAAATGGTAATCGATGACCTCCAGCAAGAAAACTCCGAGGAGCCACAAGAGACCACTCCCTCTCCACTTTCGGAGGAAGGGATGGTCGAATAATTAACCACCAATTTTCAACGGAGGACCGGGAAGCAATAAAAGAGGTAAAGTTTATGCAATGTAACTTGCAGCACAAAAGGGTGGCTACGGCAACTTTATGCCGCCGCCTTGATGAGCTGCAAGATACCATAGCACTCATCCAGGAACCCTGGTTAATAAAAACCAAAATTTTAGGCCTTAAAAATCTAAATGGTTCAATTTTTAGCTTCCCCAGCAACCAACAACCTAGGACAGCCATTAACATTCCTAGGAAATACAAAGCCTACTCAATGGCACACCTTTCCACCTCCGATTTAACTGATGTTAGGATGGAATACGCCATCAAAAGGGAAAAAAAAGAACGTTAATCCTGGCATCTGCATACCTCCCCTCCGACGCAACCACGCCACCAGAGGTTGCGACTCAAACGCTCATCACTTCAGTTGGGGCAGTAAGGATAACAACGCTAGAGGTAAGTCACTTTATGATTATATAATTACCAAAAATCTTTGTATTTTAAATAAAGGTACCACACCAATATTTTTAAACTCTCGCAGTCAAACACTAATAGATATCACTGTATCCACAACTGCTAATCTGTAAATCAATTCTAAACTGGCAAGTGTCTGATAACATTTCGATGTCAGACCACTGCTGGTTAACATTCAAAATAAACTTGATGTTGCCGACCTCCACGCTATCTCGGAACCCTAGGAAGACGGACAGGGCAATCTATGCCCACCTTCTCCAAGAGGCTCTGAGAGAGATGGAGGCCGAAACACCAAACAATAATTCTGCTTTGGAAAAGTACTCGAACACTATCCAAAGTACAATAAACAATGCCTATAAGAAATCCTGTCCTCTGAGGCTGGTCCAACACGATCAGACGACTACTGCATGGTAGTGTCACGAGATCACCTCAGTAAGATGGCTAGGAAATCTTTTAATAAGGCAAGAACCACAAAACTCAAAGAAGACTGGGATACTCATCTCAAAGAATACAAAATCGTCAGACAAAAACAGAGAGATGCATGGAGATATTACTGCGAAGAAATCGAAGATTTCCCGCAGGCAGCGAGGCTTCAAAAAGCTCTCTCAAAAGATCCACATCGAAGCATTGGTGCACTAATCAAAGAGGATAGCACGAAAACTGCCAACCTCGAAGATAGCATCAAACTTCTGCTGTCAACACAATTCCCTGACTCAGTCATCAAACACGTAGCGGACTGGGCAGAGGAAGAATACAATCCATCTGTCTATGATTGGCAAACTGCCAAACACATTGTAGACGATGAAAAAATTAGATGGGCAATATCCAGCTTCTCTCCATTTAAATCGCCAGGACCTGACGGTGTCTATCCAGCCCTACTTCAGTGGGGTCTGGAAGAACTCACACCGCACCTGGTGGGTATATTCAGATCCTCGTTGGCTTTGAAGTATATCCCCAAAAAATTAGTCTGACATCGTTTTCCATTAAGACATTGGAAAGGCTATGCGAAAGATACATAAGGGACACGGTGATTACAACACCGTTACACCCAAACCAACATGCATACACCCCAGGCAGATCTACTGATTCAGCCCTTCATCTAGTTGCTGGCCGGATAGGAAGATCCCTGGATAATAAGGAGTCCGCCTTGGGTGTTTTCATAGACATAGAAGGTGCTTTTGATAAAACCACCTTCCCAAAGATAATACACATGGAGATAATACACTCACTAACCAACAGGAATGTTCCACAAATGGTTAGTGGGTGGATACATAATAATAATAATAATAATAATAATAATAATAATAATAACGTCTTTATTATTTCTATAAAAATACAAAACAAAATATAATTATTTTATAATAAAACAAAATATAGAAATAATGGGCGAAGTTCATCCTTTGTAAATGTTTGATCATTTACAAAGCATGTTCTACCACTTAACATGCTCTTAAAGCGAGCAGTAAACATAAGTGAAGAAGATGTGAATATAAGAGGCTTGGTTGCGAGGGGATGTCCACAGGGAGGGGTGCTATCACCTCTACTGTGGAATATGGTCCTCGGCACTCTCATCAGCCGCCTAAATAATGACAGTCACTACACAATAGCATATGCAGATGACCTAGTCATTCTGCAAACAGGGAATTTTGAGAACATACTCTGCGAACGAATGCAAGTAGCTCTAAAAAATATCGAACAATGGTGCAAGGATCATTCACTGTCTATCAATCCTAAAATGACAGAAATGGTTCTTTTCACAAGGAAAAGGATGAAAATGGAATTAAAACCTCCAGAACTCCTAAACACAAAACTAAACTTTGCAAGAGATCTGAAGTACCTAGGTCTCACCTTTGACAGCAAGTTAACATGGAACTTGCATTTAGAAAATAGAGTTAAAAGAGCATACATTGCTTATGAACAATGCCACCGAACCGTGGGGCGCACCTGGGGTTTCTCCCCCAGAGTCGTCGCATGGACTTACACGGCTATCATAACTATGCTAACATACGGTGCAGTTGTCTGGGTACCGAAAACCCAAAAATTAACAGCTATCCGTAAAATAGAACAAATTCAAAGAACAGCATGTCTCAACATAACAGGAGCCATGAAAACAACACCGAGCAGGACCATGGAAGTCATTCTCAGTCTCACTCCCCTTGATATTTACATCAAGGAGGTTGCTCTGACGACAATGACACGCCTCCGCACGGTTGGAATAGAACCTGATCTAGGATCTGGTGAGGCGAGACGTCGCTTTTGGCAGGAGGCGCTCGACACGCTCCCACTGCTTCAAGCTAACATGGACTCCATCTCTCCGAGATATACCTTCCATAAGCCATATAAAGTTATAATAGAACAAATAGAAGAGCCGGAAGTGGCAGGTACGATTCATATCTACACCGACGTTTCTAAAACAAAACAAGGCTCAGGATGTGGAATATACTCCAGATTCTTAAACCTAAACATAAAATGGGCTGTGAGCAATAGTGCCAGTGTAGTTCAAACAGAGCTAACGGGTATTCTCATAGCAGCAAAAGAAATAACCAGAAACGATATCACTGGAAGGAACATGCTCATCTATACAGATAGCAGACACTACTTACCCTGAACAGACCACGAATTTACTCAGGGTTAGTACTAGAATGTCACGAAGCTTTGGCCGAAGTATCCATAAACAATGTGGTCACCTTAAGATGGATCAAAGGTTACGCCACATCGAAAGGTAACCGTCTTGCTGATTCACTAGGCAAGAAAGCAGCCAACTAAATACTTTTTGGACCTGACCCTTCTATTGGCCTGACAAAATCGGTAGTGACAGACCTAATCAAAGAACATTCCCTTGTGAAATTCAAGGAAAGATGGGATGAAACAAGAAACTGCAGAGTTGCCAGGGAGCTCTTAAGTTATCCTTATAACACTGCAGCAAACAAATACTTAACTATGACTAGACAGAATCTGCGCCTAGTCACGGGCATTCTGACTGGTCATTGCCAAGTACAAAAACATCTCCATATCATGGGGCTGTCAGAATCCGCACTCTGCAGAGGGTGCAAACAAGAAGATGAGACCACAAGAAGATTTGTGTTCGGCGAGTATCGGCTAACACCGGCCGATATAAGAGAAGTACCTCTTGGCGACGTTGTCAACTACATAAAATCTGTAGGCTGACTCACGAGCTAGGAGGTGCCTATCATCTCAGGAGGATGCACAATGGGCCTAATGAGGCCTAAGTGCCGTGGGGGTAACCCACCCTCCACACGTTACAGATACAGATCATCGGAACTGTTCATCCAATAAAACCTTCCACGAACTCTCGGAAGAGTTTTCTTATCACCGAGATGTCATCCTAGCGGACTGTGGTGTAAGTAACTGACGAAGTACTTCGGCTACTCTAGTTTTTGGAATGACCAACTATCTTCTATTTTCGGAACCATCATCATTCTCTAGTACTCGCTTTAATAAACCTTCTTCCAGTCCAACTGAGCCCAATATTTAACTATTGGAGAGAGTTTCGATACTTCTTGCCAAGTAGGTAGACGATTTTCCTCTTTCCATTATCGCATCTTTAAAACGGGATCGTCATCTTGTTTTTCCTTAAATTTGACAGGGGACCACTTATCGTTGACTGCATTTCTGTTGTTCTTAGTAGTCCACTTTCTTTGGATTCTGCTATGTTGCAGTGAGAGCACTCTGCTGGACATGGTCTTCTAGAAAGAGAATCGGCATTTCTATGGCTTATTCAGGCTCTGTGTTCGATTTTAAAGTCGTATACTCTTGAAGTCGTTCAATACATCTGGCGATTTCACCCTCCGGGTTTTTGAACTGCATCAACCATTTAAGGGCTTCATGATCGGTACGGATTAAGAAGTTTCTACCATATAGGTATTGGTAGAAGTGTTCCACGCATTTCACAACTGCCAGGAGTTCTCTTTTCGTGCCGCAGTAATTTCGCTCAGGTTTCGAGAGCACTTTACTAAAATAACCCAGTACTCTTTCTTTCCCCCCTTGAATCTTCTTTTCCATCACTTTTAATTTCTCCTTAACAGAAGACATTATTTTATTCTCGACTGATTTTCTTATTTTCCATGGAAGAAATTTCAGAAGACACCTTTTCTTCTAAGGAGAAACTTTACTATCTAAGGAAGATATCTCTGAAGAAACTTTATTATCTAATAAATAAATATCCGAAGACATTTTATTTTCTAAGGAAGAAATATCAGACGAAACTTTATTTTCTAAAGTGGAAATATCGGAATAAACTTTAGTTTCTAATGAAGAAATATCGGTTTTTAAGGAAGAGATCTTACTTTCCATATCGGAAGAAATTGAAGAAATTATAGCAGACGTATCATACGAAAATAGAAATGTTTCCGAATCCAAATCTTCATTTTCTAGTGTTTTTTACTTTCCTGCGCGTGTGTGCGCGTGTGTGCGCGTGTGTGCGTGTGTGTGCGTGTGTGTGCGTGTGTGTGCGTGTGTGTGCGTGTGTGTGCGTGCGTGCGTGTGTGTGTGTGTGTGTGTGTGTGTGTGCGTGCGTGCGTGCGTGGGTGCGTGCGTGGGTGCGTGCGTGCGTGCGTGCGTGTGTGTGTGTGTGTGTGTGTGTGTGTGTGTGTGTGTGTGTGTGTGTGTGTGTGTGGTGTGTGTGTGTGTGTGTGTGTGTATGTGTGTGTGTATGTGGGTGTGTGCGTGTGTGTGCGTGTGTGCGTGCGTGTGTGTGCGCGTGTGTGTGTGCGCGTGTGTGTGTGCGTGTGTGTGCGTGTGTGTGCGTGTGTGTGCGTGTGTGTGCGTGTGTGTGCGTGTGTGTGCGTGTGTGTGCGTGTGTGTGCGTGTGTGTGCGTGTGTGTGCGTGTGTGTGCGTGTGTGGGCGTGTGTGCGCGTGTGTGCGCGTGTGTGCGCGTGTGTGCGCGTGTGTGCGCGTGTGTGCGCGTGTGTGCGTGTGTGTGCGTGTGTGCGCGTGTGTGTGCGTGTGTGTGCGTGTGTGCGTGTGTGTGCGTGTGTGTGCGTGTGTGTGCGTGTGTGTGCGTGTGTGTGCGTGTGTGTGCGCGTGTGTGCGCGTGTGTGCGCGTGTGTGCGCGTGTGTGCGTGTGTGTGCGTGTGTGTGCGTGTGTGTGTGTGTGTGTGTGTGTGTGTGTGTGTGTGTGTGTGTGTGTGTGTGTGTGTGTGTGTGTGTGTGTGTGTGTGGTGTGGTGTGGTGTGTGTGGTGTGTGCGTGCGTGTGTGTGTGTGTGTGTGTGTGTGTGTGTGTGGGTGCGTGCGTTCGTGCGTGCGTGCGTGTGTGTGTGTATCCCCGATGACTCAAAAACAGATAAGAAGAAAAACATTAAATTTTAAACTTAAGCTTTATTCGATCCTCTAATGATTAGATTTTGGGTATAGTCAGAGTATTTGGGGGGTTATTTTATAGGGAATCGTTTTTCTACTTTAAGAAATATGTTATTTACGCTTAGAGAATAAAATACTTCAAATTAAAGTTGCTTGTAATGTCATTTTCTATAATTTTTGTCTTAAACATGATTTCCCTAAAGTTCGTATTCGAGAAATTTGACAAAAAGTGAAAAATTCGAATTTTCTACTAGTGCCTAAATTATTATCCGGAATTTTTTAGAACTATCGAATATTTTGTAAATCATTCCGATATCATTTTCTTTAATTTTTGTTTTATACATGATTTCTCTAAAATGGACCGTAATGGAAAAATGTATGTAAGTCTTAAGTTCGTTCTCTAAACATTTATAGGGGTGATACAATAGGTTGTAGAGAATAACCGAAAAAAGTCTATAATAACTTTAAGTAAGACAGAAAAGTCATGTTTTGGACATATCAGATTTTTTATTGTCACAATAATATAGTTAAAAAACGCACAGAACAATCGTACACACATTAATTTAATCCCTTCAAAAACATTCAATAACGAACAACACATAAGGAAATAGTAGTTTGTACAACAAGAATGGATATGATGGCCATATCTCACGAAGCCGAATGCAATATGGACAATACACTCGAAGGCAGATGCTGTCTTTAGCTCCACCGCCACTTTTATAATTTTGATTTTACTACTCGTAATTAAACTAGTTTCATATAGTTTAATACATTTTTGTTTAAATGTAGACCAAATAAAAATGCTACTAACAATTAGTTTGACAGAATTGTCACTTATTTAAAATTTTAAAAATAATATTAGTTGTCCAAAATATAAACTGTGATTGGTGGATTTCATTTTTTTGCAGTGTTCCCACGTCCTAGAATGGATATGAAATATATTCGTTCAGTTGAACGCAATACCATACTTTTTGTTTTGTAATCTGTGCGCAGATAAGCTAATATCCACGGTGTAGAAAAACACTATAAACTCTTAAAAACTTGAAAAATCAACAGATCGCAAGCAAAATACTTCTTTAACAAAAGGTATACAACTACAAAAAACTACAGTTTTTAGTATCTATACATTTTATTTATTTCCATTTCTAGTTTTAAAAATTGGTTTATCGGAAAAAGCTATTTCCTCACCAGGATTATAATGTTCAAAAACCACAATCTTATTCCATCCCTGCTTTACAAACGGCCCCGGCAAATACAGCGACTGTTGAGGCCCGATCATCGAATATCTTCCAAGTACAAAATTATTAATTAAGACTATGCCTTTGCACCATCTGCGCATATCGACATAAGTGTCCATACTTTCATTTGCGAAAAATTCCGTTTTGTATAAAGCGGGTCCAACAGTCCAAGTTTTGGTGGGTTTGTGCCAACCTGTAAGCTTCTCGGTCCAGGATTTTTTAAATTCCAAAGGAAATATCTCCCAATTTTGGATCATCTTATCGTTCAAGTACACACCGTCCTGCCACAAGCCTTTGTACTGTTTAAACTGCTCTAAACTTCCAAAATTGACCCTACCCCAGTTTTCCACGACCAGATCCAGAACAGCTTCGGTGTAGTTATTCGGACCTAAAGTCAGATTGCCGTTTTGGACTTTCCAGAACCCAAAACCGTTCAAGTCCTTGACTCTGGTCAATGGTTTAGATACAAGATTGCCGTTCAATAATACTACTACGCTATCGCATACTCGTCCGCCAATTCTGAGCACAGAATCGGCTGGAATATCTAATAGTTTCTTCCTATAAACGATGTATCCATAGCTTTGCCCGGTGTTGTTGTTGATAGGCAGCAGCTCCATTGGCATTACATTTTGACTGTGAATTATGTCTTGTTTTTCTAAAACTTCGTGTAAGAGTAACTGGTGTGTGATTGGTGTGGCGTTATACGCAATGCATGGGGTCTCGTGAGGTGTTTGTGGAATTCTGCAAAAGAAATGTAATGAACTATGAAACTACAAATTTATATTCTACTGACCTTGTAAGAATTTTATTGTATTTTTTGAGCAAATCCTTAACCAAAATATATTTCATCGTGTAGTCTCCATTCTCTGTTAAAGGAGCATCATAATCGTAGCTAGTAGTGTCGGGTTGATAACCAGAATTATCGTCACGACCGTTTTCTACATTTGCACCTATAAAACAAAAGATTAGTACAATCTTTAAGACATCACAACAGGAATCCCATAAGGAAGTTACTATGTTAGCTCCTAGACTATTTTTGTACACTAAATATTTCAAAAAAATAAATCTAACTAAAGCAACAACATGAGTAATACAAGGAAATGTACGTGTACTCTTTTAGAATATTTACTGTACAATAAAAATGTTTCAGGGTAGACTGCACAACAGAGAGTAACCAGACAGGTGACAAAAAACTCGATGAACAATCTACCTTAAAATTCTTTGTAGAAAGGATGAACCAACCATTCATGAAACCGAAGCTGGTTCCTCCATGGAACATATACATGTTGAAAGAGGCAGGATACTGAAGGATCCTTTGGGTGGTGTTTTGGAAGGCGTTGGCGTCTCTCACATGATGGTTTTCCGACCAATGGTCAAACCACCCCACCCAGAATTCCATCGCCATGACTGGTCGATTGGGTTGGAGTTCTAGCAGTCTTCCGAATTCCACTTCTGGGCTGCCGCCGAAATTTGAGGTTTGAAAAAGGACGCCTAGAAGTCACAATATATTACTTGAATTATTTTAAAAGAGATTGAGATGTTCCTACAAAGATCAGAAACATTCATTGGCTATCAGGATTTTGCCTGACTAAGACGAATTTAACCCACCTGGTAAAGTTCCCCTATCATCGTGCAAAGAAGTCCCGTCAGACGTGTATAGTAACTCAACTATATTGTTGGAAAGAAAAATATCACGTAGCTGTCTCAGATAAGCCCTGTCTGGGACGAATTTTCCAGGACGTTCCGTACTTCCATACTCATTTTCTACTTGGAAACCAATTATGGGACCGCCTTTGGTAAATTGAAGCAAAGCCAATATCGGCAACAAAACATTAAAGTACCTAAAACAACGTAAAATTGGTCTAAAATAATCGATACAGACTTGGACAATATAATGGTTTTAACAAGGTGAAGTCCATTAGATACTGGACTCCCGACTTTATTAAAAGAACGAGTATTTATTTCCTCTATGTTCAGTGAAATCAAAACTCTTTCACAAAGAGAAAAACTTAAAAGAAGACCATATAACTCAACACTCTACAACAGATCAAGTCCACTGGAGTATAGATCAAATAAATCAAGTTTATGACTGGGGTATGTTGAAATTGAACGATCAAAACAATCCAAGAATTTGAAGCATAATTCATGGGATAACTTCAGAAAAGTTTAAGCTTTCTTACCTTTTGACATATTTCATATAAGTTGCATCCGATGTACGGAATTTAATGTGTTTTTCTCTCAACAACCAGCTGGGGAATCCTCCAAATTCCCATTCTGCGCAGATATATGGCCCTGACCTGACTAAAGCGAACAGATCCTCTTCTTGGGCAATCTTTAAGAATTCCGTTAGGTCCAGAAAGTCTTCCATGTCTGAGCCACCTTTCCCAAAATCGTACCTAAAACAAAATCTAGATAAAAACGATACTGGATGTTGGATTTTTGTAATTAGACAGGTGATTCGACGTATAAAAATTGGAAAAAGTTCAAATAAATATTATGGAATGGAATGTTATGGAATATTTTATTAATTATTATTTTTGTAGAGGTTTCCGAGAAGTAATGATATGATATGATATGATATTTAGATTAAAAACATTTTTCCAAATTTTTTCCCGCCTAAAAAATAAAATAGTACCATCCAGATTGAGGTTCGTGGAGATTCCATGGTACGTAGGTTTCAACTGTATTCAAACCTGCTGCACGCAATTTTCTTAACCGGTTCCTCCAATATGCTCTGGGCACTCTAAAATAATGTAAAGCTCCACTATAAAGCGTGATATTTTTGTCGTTTAGAGTGAAATAAGGCTTATCTGTATTGAGGCCTGAATGGATTCCACCACCTACAAAATATAATATGCAATGCATTATTAAGATAATCAAATAGTTTTTACATACTTGAAAATATCTTTATAAGTTCTTGTCTAGAAATAGAGCATAGAAATTAAGATTTTTAGTGCCAAATCGCTAAAAAGGTACTTAAAAGTTACCTTTATAGTTCCCCCTACTTAATACGCACTTGTGAGCTACAAATATCGTCACGAATTTGCCTAAGCCGAGGTTTACCCCTAACTACCTATAGTAGAATATCACAATTGTACCCTGTACAAAAAAAGTTATTTTTAATAGTTGTTAATTTTTTGAATACCGACAAAAGGAGAAATATTCAGTATTAATTAATAAACATATTAGTGGTGTATTGCAAAATTTATTTAATCTCTTACAAATTTACAAAAACTCTCTTCCTCTTTTATTAAAACCTTTTTCTTCTACTCACTCTTCAAAGACTATACGTACAGATAGTTTCAAAAAAATTGAGAAGATCGCTATCTTTATAAATTTTTTGAATAACTAATTCATTTGTTTATTATTTACCTCCAGAACAGAAATCATCCGCTTCTGCTTTCGGAATTGTCGGTTTAGTCGTTTTAACCTATCAGATTAAAACAAGAAAACCGACAATTCCGAAGCAGAAGCGGATAATTAAAACGCACCTATTAAAAATATTGCGCCAAGATGTAGGCAACACGTAATAAGGCATCAAAATGGTGGAGTTTTCTATCTCCTTTTAAAAGGCACTCAGAAAGCTGCGCAGTGCGACCATTCTCCGTATAGTAAGAGAAAATCAAAGCATGTGATCTAATCAGTAATCAGTCTAAAAGGTGATGTAACGCAGTGATAATTTGCTGTCATTTGGTTTCGTAATTTTTTTTAATATACAGTTTTTTGAATTTATCTGATTTTTTCTGTTACAAAAAAAATTGTATTTTAGGCTAAAATTAAATAAACATAGTTTTTAATACGTTTCTCGTTAATGTGTCAAATTTCTTTAAATAACATGGTTTTGGCAGTTAAGCCAACTTCACTGAGACATGGCTCGTATATACATTTGAATTTATATATACTTATTCGATAATTATTATTGCCGATTTTCCTCACTTTGTGCATCTTTAAAATAGAAAAATAATTTTTGTGACAACCAATTCTTTGTAAAATGCGGAAGATCATTTTTAATAATAACCGCACGCCTATGACTCGTCGATTTCCTATCCCCTCAGACCCGCAAAGGTCTATGTTAAAAATGTGAGTCACTCATTTAAACGATGATAAAAGTTTGGGCAAACAGATTTACACAAAAGTACAAAAGTAAAGAAAAAAATAAATTTAAAGATTATATTTAAAAAAAATATATATATATATATTTTGTATTTTTTGTATTTATAGGATTTTTGTTTCGTTTTCTTTCTCACAGTTTTTCTTTTACTTTTAAAATTTGTAAATGGGAAACTGTTGAATAAAACTATGAAAAGTATTATTAATGTGGACAAGAACAGAAGCAGACCAAGAATGGAACCCTGAAGTACCACTTCACCGATTACTGCTAATTTTTTTTGTACCTAAATATCGTTTAAATTATTTTTTATTTCTGCAAACTGTGCCAACATTTGAAAAAGCACGTTCCAATTATTTAACAATTATTAAACAAGTAATTAAAAAAATTCAAATAAAAACTTACTTGTATAATGTTCGTACAAAGTTGGTAACACGTCCGTGGTTAAAGACATTTTTCTTTGGAATGACTTAAGCAAACGTGGGTCAATAATTATAAATGAAAACAATGGATAAATTTGTCCGAGTGTGAACACAAGGATCAGAGCCGGATTTAACATTTTTATTGCCCTAGTGTTAAAGAAATTAATTACCGCCCTCCTAAAGATGTTTCCTAGGAGTTTTGAAGAATATTCTTATCTTGACATTGTAACGATTTGGAATATATTCTTTTTCTTTTACCGTGCTTAAACGGCCATATTTACGTACGTAAAGTTTCCCACCAAATCTAAAGATACATATTAGACACAACATGTCAATACTATCCCTATAATCCACTGCTAACTTGCTATGGATACTTCATTACTTATTTGTAATGTCTTTTTAAGAGTGTAATAAAAGTGTTGTATACTTAATTGTTTAGCGATCATTTTGGCAACAAGTATTTGGTATACATGGTGTTTCAAAAAAAGGTGTTCCCGTTGCTAGGATAGGTAGAACAATGTAAAATTAGTTGGATTTGCTCAGTATAAAAATTTCGTAACGATGAAGGGTATTGAAAAAAAATGTATAGATAATTTTTACTATTATGTCGAAACTACTGGCAACATTGTAATGACATTTTGTGCGAATATGTTTTGAAAACTGACACAAGAAAATCAAAGTATGTGGACACATTACATATATTTGTTTTTATATCTGCCTCTCATAGAAGGCTCTAGTTACAGGCAGTGGCGGGTCAAGACCGAATTTTTATGTGGGCAAGATACATTTTTGCGAGGCCCTCTGGTGGCGCAAGAAGACGGATTTTATACAGAGAAATAAAACTGAAACTTGTATTCATAAAAATGCTAACATCTCTTTGAGTTTAACTAATATTATTAAGTAATTATTACTTGCAGTAAAGAATTACAGAAACATAAATTTCCTGCTTTTAGCTTTACTGAACTTGATCTACCATAATCCAGATTAGATGCTATATCTGCTTCAATAGATAAAATTGACAATGCTAAAAATCTTTGCTGGTTTTAATTTTGAAAAGCTCCTTCCAGCATAAGTTGTACTTAGGTACTGGTACTGTTAACAAAATTTGAATGACAATATAAATATTTGGATAAATTTCTTTCAACTTATTTTCTATTGTGTATTGGAGCAGCTGTTTTATACCTTTAATGAAATTAGGTAAATTTGGGATCATTATTTGTAAATCTTCATAAAATAAGGTTTGAAAACACTGCTCTCACCCACTCGAGAACAGTCCACTTTAAATAATTTTAAAGGTGATGATTTTAAAAACAAATACAAAAATAAGTCAAAAATCATTTAAGGGGGACGTCTTAGGAAAGAAATAGGAAAGAAAAAAGAAAAAAGGGGAAAGGAAAGAAAGAGAAAGAGCGCAAACAAAAATGCAAAAGACCCACCTTTCAAATGATTCACTTTTCACCTCTAAAATCGAATATTAGAGGAGAATAAAAAAGTAAACCAAATCGGAACGTTCTGTTAAATATAATAATTTGATTTTTAGTTTTTAATATAATAATACTGTTTTATAAATAAAGTAGTTTATTTTTAATATTCTTGAATAGAACGATTGCCAAAGAAAAGTTTTAAATTGACACACTATATGTGCGTAATAGTTTAAATATTACACTTTAACGAGCAAGCAAAATTTTTAAAGGTTCTAACCATAAAACCATATTTTTTTACTTATTTAAATTCAATGGACCGATTTACTTTTTATTTAATATTTATCCCTTTCAATCAGTGGACCTCATTCTCAGATCAAAATCTTTATAAAAAAAGAAAACAAAATAAGCGAATATATGGCCATTTACAGTATTCTACCAATTTAGCATACCTACTCAGTGAAAATTGTAGTTTGTGCAACAAGAGTAGATATGGACAATCCACTCGAGTTGTACAGTATATTTTTTCTACGACCCACTAACAAAAATCTACAAATTTTAAAAATTATTTTAGGTTGTTAAGACAAAATAATTAATTTTAAAATAATTTATGAATTTTATTAATTTATAAAATAAAATAAACTTAAAAAAAAATTGTCCCAAGCCCTAATTCGAACCCGGGCTATCCGTGTGGAAGGCAGATGCTCTGCCCACAGCTTAGTTTTATTACTCGTAATTAAATTAATTTAAAAAAGTTTGATAAAAATTTTCAAAATAAAAAAAAAATAAAAATAAAAATGCTATTATTTATCGTTTCTACACAAAAATATCTTTCTTTTTGATGTATATTTAATTTCAATAACCAAAAAATATACTGACAATTAGTTTGACAGAATTATCACTTATTTAAAATTTTAAAAATAATAGTGGTTGGGTGTCCAAAATATTGTGATTGGGGGATTTAATTTTTTTTGCAGTGTTCTCACTACCTAGAATGGATATGAAATACATTCATTCAGTTGAACGCAATACCATACTTTTTCGTTTTGTAATCTGAGCGTAGATAAGCTAATATCCATGTGGGCGTAGAAAAACGATAGTACCCATTTGTTATTTCACTATGGCGCTACTTCGAGATATATATATATATATATATATATATATATATATATATATATATATATATATATATATATATATATATATATATATAGCTTTCTTTAAGTTATGAAAAATATTTATTTTGTTTCCTTCTCACATCTGACCTACGTATATGTAAGCAAAAATCATATAAAATAATGTCATATTAAAACAACGAATAACTAATTATTTTAAATAAGAAAGAATGCCAAATTTTAAACATTATCAAAATCTGTTTTTTGTTCGCGAGGCCGTAGGTGGTGGCCCACGTCGCCCACGCCTTGCGCCGCTTCTGGTTACAGGGTTCGTACCGAGTAATTTTAAACATTTAAACTTTTTTGAGGTTTAATTTTCTAGTCCTAATTTTATGAGAATTCAAACTTTATTCAATTTTACACCAAAAAGATACTCTTGTTAAAACTCGATACTGTGTACCGTTTTCAGAATATTTTGATTTGAAAATGATGAAGTATTAACTGATGCTGGCACAACAATTACCTATTTTTTTAAAAAACAAATGCAATAACATTATTCTAATGCTAATGTTATTAATTAAACAAAGAATCACAAAAAAAAAATTAAAATAAATTTGACAAAAAACATGAAATATTCAATCAGTTAATGTGTTCAAAATGTCCTCCGTTTTCACGAATACTCAATTCTATCCTTTTTCTCTAAAGGATGCACTAATCTTCTTAACGGTTGAGGATCAGCTATGAGATCATTAAAGAGCTTCTGCACCTTTTCCAATACATCGATTAGGATAATGATTACTTAACCAATTACGACACCTTCTATAAAAGTGCGGGAGAGCTCCATCATGCATAAAAAAAACATCTTCGCTCGTTTATTGTTAAATGTTCTAATATCTCGAATAAATTGTTTTTTAAAAACTCGAGGTACATATTACCATTACTGGTACAACGTGATAATCAATTAATTTGTTGCCTAAAGTGCTGCCCAAACATTATAAAAATGGGATTGAGGGCTATGCTTTCTTGTAACATTTAACAAAAATCCACTCTATCCGTTACTGAACAAACCCAACTTATGTGGCAGTATTCTACCTATCTAATCAATGGGGACACCTTTTTTTGAAACACCTTGTAGAACAGAAGTCATCTTAAACCTGGGAGCCAGTGTTAAGAAAATTTTTTTTTGTAGAATGATTAACGCCCTATATATCGGTAAATTTAGTGAAACAAATAATTATCCAATTTCATTTGAGAATTCTGCCGTGTTGAAGAAGAAAGCAGCGTATGTGCATTTTGGCCGTTTTGGGAAAAACGCCATCAAAATTTTGGACTTTTGTTATATTTATAGATGTCATCAAAGAAATACTCGATTTACCTAAAAATAGTGTTACGTGCGACTTTTGAGCTTAGCTATTTTAAAGTTTGGTCAGGAAAAACACAGTAGGTATATTTTTATTTTATTTTTCGCCTGTAAAGATATTTGGCCGCATGCGTGTATTTCTTGACACGTATGACAAGATATACAGGTATGATTGAAAATAAACTCATATTATCGAAAAACGCCGCTTTTGTTCAAATATAATAATACTATCATTTATATTATTGATTGCATCAAATACGGTATTTTAAACAAATAAATAGTACATAATATGGCTTTCTAATGCAGCTCTCGAAAATATAGTAGGGATATTATTTGAAACTTTTAAAACTGTTTTTTTTTTGTATTAATATTGAGCTAAAAATATGAGTTAAGTACTGCAAATTTTGAAAACGCCTAGAACTCATTTTGAACAAATATCCACGTATGGCTTTTCTTTCTTAATAATACGGGAGAATTTACATAGGTTATGTGTAGGGCAAATTTGGAAACGACATGTAGGTATAGAATACGGGAGTACTATCACAGTTTAAAGAATGTACTACTAGGAAATGAATTTACAACCTTTTAATTGAAATACATAATATTTAGTTAGAAAGAACCAAAATACCCATCTCATCGGTATCCAAGGGCAACATTGCAAATATCAAATCTGGAATCTCCGTATCCCAAAATAGGTGTACCCCAAATTTTGTACAATTAGGACTAGCAATTTACGAGATAATTGGCCGTTTCCAGACTTTTGGGACACTCTGTATAAATAGTCGCGACTTTGTCGATAGAAAAGAAGATTTAATTTAAGTGTTGGACAGAAAAGATAAATTGTAATAAATAAATTAAAATTGTGAGTTATAATAGTGTTTAAGTACTATATAAATTAATTAGTACGTTATAAATAAATTGTAAATAAAGTCTTTTGAATAAATAAATAATAAACTATAAATATACTATCGCTATACAACGATATTATGTTGTGACTATGTGCTTATATGTAATGAGCCACAAAAAAAAGTTTCTAAAGTAGGCTTTGGAATAATACACGCATGTCGGAACTCACAAATCTTCTTCTGTTTAAGTGTCAGTTTGGATTTAATTCAGAGCCGTGCGTAGTTATTACC